GGCGACGCCGGGGGCGGCTGAGGGGGTGGCAGCGCCGCTCGATGCGCCATGATCGATCCGGAGCCATCTCCCGCCCCTCGCCGCACCCCGTCCCCACCCCCGACGCTCGCAATCTCCCAAGCTCCAGCATGACTCAGTGATCCACGACTTAGGCGTGGGAGGTGTTAAAGAATGGCAAAGTTCTTTTTCTCGTTTCAGGGCATATCGGATGCTAAAACCCAGATCTGCCGAGGACATGTCATAGTGTGATGAACATGAAACTCACGGTTGAAAATTTGGGCTAATTTTGAAATAAATTTCTGGGCCTATGTGCTCTGTCCGGCCAAGTACGCTTTGTGAGATCGTCTACAATACTGGGTTGTTTCTGTCTTTTCTAACAATTCATTTTACGCGGATGTTCCAGACGTATATCGGGAACGAAGCGCAGGGCACACGAACGTTTTTCGCTGGTGGTCTTCCGTGACTTACATCCCTTTGGGATTCGTGATACATCATAGAAGACTTTCGCTGGTTCGTACATCAATTTTACCTGGGAAAAATTGGGTCGTACATACCGTGCAGCTTCCGGCCGAAAACAACGTTCTGCCGATGTAAGGTGCAAGGTATGTACGACCCAGTTTTTCCCAGTTTGCTTTCGCATCTGGCATGCAATGCCTACTTCCTCTAAACAATATTTGTATTAACTAATACCTAATTGTTTATAATTGATGTAATCTAATTTATTACGAATTGTATCCCTAAGGATGATCGCTACGCTCGAAACGATCATCAGCCAAATAAATTGTTGATACCAGACCACATCTTTCATTTACCATAATAATACAAGGTATCTACCTCGCGATTTAATTCATCCCTATCAATTATCCTCTCCTAGGCCTCTTCATTTACTCGTACTACTGTTTCTTCCCCCTCCCCGGGGTGGGAGCCATTGTGTCTGCCGCCATGCGCGCGTTCTGTCTTGCAAAGCCGCCTCCGCCGCGCCGCGCCGCGCTGCCCTGCCTGCGGCGCGACGTCGGCTCCCGTGCAAAGCGAGGCGACCCAACGCACTGGCGGGCCCCGCCTCCGCCTCAACCACTCCCCAGCGCCCGCTCCGCTCCGCTCCGCTCGGCTTCAAAGGCGTCCGCGTCTGTGGAACTCTTCTGCGTAATTATTCTAAATATTTCGAAAGATTTCTAACTGCACTTTTGTTTATTTCACCTTTTTGCTTTTATAACAAGAATACAAAATTGTCTCGTTATTTGTACCACTCTTGTGTTAACTCCTCTATGCATTTCACATTTTACACAATTTGTATTCCTATTTTTGAAGCGTAAACTATATTATTTCTACTATATTATGCCATAACAGTCTCTTTATTGATTAAGGATCCAGGAGAGATCAACCAAACAGTTTATCTATAAAAAAAAATTAATATAAAATATTACAAATTATAGCCGTCCACATGTTTCGGCAATTTTATTCCATCTTCAGTGTATCCAATCGTGGATTAATCACGCTGGACTTAAATCCGCGCCATCTTGTGTATGTGCAGTGCTGAGACAGACGTGCTGAGGCAAACGGTGAACTACTGACTGACAGTCACACACAACCGCAGACCGCTCGAACTTAACCGCTCGAGGCTGAAACGCTCGAGTGAGCACGCGCGTGCAAATGGTATGCATTGCAGTATTCTAACACATATATCGCAATGCACGCCCTTACCGAAGGGTCGGAAATGCAGCAGTCAGCTCGGTTTCTCCTACCTATAGAAACACTTTACATCTAGCGCATCCTTATTTAAAATATCGCTCCCCTAAGCCCAGAAACCGATTTGTGACTGTGAAAATTCGGAGATTTCGCAATCGTTAATATAGGTAGATTATTAATCACTTAAATATTAAATGAATGGGTGAAAACCAGAAAGATATAAGTGACATTATAAATTAAGAGAAATTGTTTATTTTAATCAATATCACAGTCAAGTCGTGTGGTTTTTTCATCATTAAAACTACGGCATTTAAGTTGTTCATTAAAACCACGAAAATACATTGCCACTGAAAAATAGTCTGAAATAAACACGTTTTTCTCAGAATTTATAAAAAGCCACTTATACCGTTGTGGTTTTCATCCATTCATACGATTAATTTTACTAATTAATACTTTTTAGAGATCTAGATCGAGTTTTTTGTCCAATTTTATTGGTTCTTGGAGGAAAGTCTGAAATAGTCTCTAGATTTGCTTCTACAGAGTAAACATAGCATTTCTCTCCCCCGCACTTCACACGTTTCTTGTTACTTTTGGAAATGAAATAAGTAAATATACAAGTCTTATTTTTCCTGATTATTGCACAAAACTTCAATAATTGTTGTAATTGTTCAAGTGTTTTGAGTTAATAAACCAAGTAATACATTTTTAATTCAGTTTTAAGAAGTGAATTGATAATCGTAGATAAGTGTTCCAATACAAATTGAGTGGATAATAATAATGAATCTCGTTTCGCTCTTGCCTTTTGAAGCCTTTAGTGGATTGAACAATAGTGCTTGTCTTGTGAATATTCCGTTCATCATTATTTATTTTTAATTTCTATACGAGGCTTGAAATCTTTTTTAGACAGCAATTAGTAAAAGCGGTTCTTTCAGGGGACATACAGCGTGCTGAAAGTTCAATTTCTAGCACTAGTGCTAAAAGTGAGACGACACTCAAATATTCTGGTAAATCAGTAAATGCAACAAAGAAAGCAAAAAGCATTCGTCTGACCCTATCAGCTACTACTGACCTTAATGCACCATAAGTGATTTGTATAAAATATATACGAGTTAAAATAAAATGAAAGTCAGTAACGCTGTCTAAAACAATGGTGTATGACACACGTGATAAAAGTGGTTTTATTTTGTTCATAGGATTGCGCAACTCGGTCTGTCGACCTTTTGCTGCATCCTTCTCTACTCAAAAAAAGATATGTCGCTTTTACCTTTCGTATCATAAATAACTATTAAAAACTTTTTACTGTTGCTTCTCGATTCTCGTCGTGAAAAGTAGGATGAACACATTACTTTATCCAATTCCAAATCTTAAGAGATCTTCATATCTTAATTTTTTCGAAATCTTAAAAATAAAAAAAAAATATTGCTAAATATTTACCTTAACGATAGAAAAAACATCTTTTTTATTTCAAGGACTATTTTTTTTTACCAATTTTATATTCAAACACTTCTACGTATTAAAACAATGAAGTCTTCATGTACAAGGAGAAAAATGTAATACAGAAGGTGCTACGTACAAAACTTTTGTTTCAATTTTCTGCAGTCATTGAAATCAAGTGTTCAGTTATTAGAGCAGTCTCTCGATACTTAACCCACTATACTAAGTCTGATTTACCTGAAAGTAATAGCTATCATCCGATATAGGAAGTAATTTCATGCGGTCTCTCTAGAATCTAGAAAAAAATTTCTTTCAAAAAAGTACTTTCTCTTTTTCCAGTTCGCCATGATGGACGTCCTCTTCGTGCTTTTTCATGCAAATAAAGAGTCTCGATTAGAAGCAATCTAAGGAGATCGAGATTTACGAGCAGTTCGATCAACGTGCTCTGGGGCCCCGAAGAAGTTTACCCCAGGGCCGATCTTTCTTCCCCTCCGAACTTCCCCCTTCACTTCCGTTCTTTTATTTTCCCCCTGACACATCTCCTTAAT